TGTTAAGAGCATGCACTCTCACCAACTGAGCCATCCGGGCGCCCACTGGCAGCTCAGCCACAGCTCAGCTCAAGCACAGCTCACTGGCCCACGTGGGAATCAAACTGGTGACCCTGTAGCTCAGAGCTCCCGCTCTCCACTCGCCAGCCCCCATCCCTCATTCTTATTTCATGCATTCTGCATACAATACAGCTGATTAAGTTGCTGATCAACTATCACATTCCTAACCTTCCTGCCCCCCCTCTCCATTAAGTCAGGGAGATCATCTTGATTGGTGGGTTGGTTGTTCCCAAGCTCTTCATTTACTTAAGGAATATTTTTTTTGTTCTCAGATATATTAGGTTGAACCATATGAATTTGCAATTTTGGTAGGTCAAAGGCAGTCAAATACCAGCAATTTCATGTAGTTCAACTAACACCAGACCAGTTCTATTAGGGGTGGGCTTAATGAGTCCAACTCTCTTTTTCAAGCCTTGGTGGTAGGTGCATATGTGTGTGTGGGGGGGTCATGCATGGCAACCCTTTACCTCTTTTTGGAAACAAGCTTTTCTCGGTGGCCACTGGCGTCTGAGGCCTTGCTCCTCTTGCTGTCCATTCACCCTCCAGCTAGGGCCTTACTTTAATGTCAGGGGTGAGCAAAGGAGGGACTTGAGGTTGAGGGACAAGTCAAATTCTTTATTATGGGTGACAGAGTATGTGTTCTGAGGCCAAGAAAGAGCAATTTTAAGGAACACTTTTAGATAGTCCGTGGTTTGTGCCTTCCTGTTAATATGGAAAACTGGGGACTAATGGAGACATTTTACATTTACAAACATCACTCGAACACCTGTGTGATGTAGGCTGTATACTCAACACCATTCCTACCTGCAAGGGTTTTCCATGTGCTGTAATTGTATGTATACTGCATGTCTGCTTCTAGCCACTAGCTTACCTAATACAGTAAGTTCAACTCTTATCATAGGGCCTGGCATACAGTAGGTGGTCATTAAATAAATGTTTTACACTAGTGAATAAGTGAATGAATGAATGAATGAATGGGTTAAAAAATCATGGAAATATCAGGAAGGCATTAAATATCATACCAAAAGAAAGGTGACTGGGCCTTTAAAGATCAGGAACCAGGCTGCTTGTAGAAGCCAGCAGAGACTCTCAGGAGGAGGTGACTTGAAAGCAGTTGCTCTCCAATTCAAAAAGGTTGGTGGAACAGCTCAGACAGTAGCTTAGTCTGACTCACAGATGTGAGAGAGGGAGCCACAAGTGAAATGAAGCCACAAATGAAAAGTTGCTCCTCATTTCCTGGCAATCTCTTTGGCCAGCATGAGCTGCATTCCTTTGAGCTGAGCATGTGTGGAATTTCCAGCCTAGGTAGCAGAATGGAACTTGGAACAAATAGCGCAGCAAAAAAGAACCCAGGGACAATGGGGTTGGGCCCAGCTGCCCCTTGCCAGCTCTTGAGCTCACAGAACACTGGGCTCAGGGGGCCTTGTTGAGGGAGACAAATGATGGCCTTTGGACTGTACCACTTCAGAGGACTCCGAGAGAAATTTCCATGTTCAGACAGCATTAGGATCCTTAGAAGATGTGTTGAAATACCTGGGAATAGTCTGAGCCCTTGCCACTATTCAACTTTTCATCGAGCAAGGACAAGTGAAAGTCTGTTAGCTTTAAAAATGGGGAAGATCCAAATATTGGAAGGCAGAGTGGAAGATACCTTCATCAAGAGTGAGCTGGAGGATGCTTCAATGGCAGGGTAATAACGAGGGAGTGATGATGGTAGGATTCAGAGCTCTGTGTAACTGCTTTGGAGGAGTATGGCAGGGAAGACTTAAGAACAACTGTTGGGGATATATGATGTCAGTTTCAGGGCAGGGGATTCAAAGAGGAAGTGACCAGTTTCATGGATGAGAGAATAACTACAGACAATGACACAACCAAAAAGACACTGGTGTCTCTGCTGGCCTGACCTGAATTTCTTACACCTGATTAAGCTCTGGGAGCATGCCATCAATCACAATGAAAAATGTAATGAGGAATTTTGCTGTGTCAACTACTGTTTCTTCTCTACATTTTCCCAAGTCATCATTTCCTTCAAGACGCTGATATATTGATTGATAGGGACCTACGAAAGGGAGGGAAGAATTCCAGTTATTCACATCTAGATCTTCTCTTCTAAGATTATAGAGGAGTTGAAGGCAGGAGTGACGAATTACTCAACCTACAATAGAATGAGGCACACTGACTTGACTATAGCTAAATAGGTGCTTCATAGATAAGAAAAAAAAGAACAGACAGAAGGGAGGGAGGGCGGGAGATGGAAGGAAAGGAGAAAGAAGAGAGAAAGGGGAGGGAGGGAGGGAAAGAAAAGAAGAAAATTAGGTCAGAGATGGTAAGGGCAGTGAGGGTGGGGAACAGTACAGAACTTGGCCTGTATCACAGAAGATAAGTGGTGTCACAGAAGAAAGTTACTTAGGGACCCATCTTGGTTTATGTTTGGGGAATAATATGTAAGCATGTTGCTGTTGGCCAAGGCTAGGTCCTTGATTTTCTTCTTGATATATTCTGGACTTAGTCCTTTAATAGTAGTGCGGAGGAGGAGGGAAGAAGGCAACCTTTAATGTCGAAACTAAAGGAAAAGACAAAGTAGCTCTGCTTACTGGTTGTACTCTATCCCATGAGGCTACAAACCTATGTCTGAGTCATTTCCTCAGTGGTTGCGACAGTTCTCTCCTCTGTCCTCAGGAGGAAGTGGAACGTTTAATACCTTACATTAGACCACCTTTTTCATATGCAAGGATTCATTTCATGCTCAAGGCCCAGAGAGTACTTAAATGGTAAATTAGACAGGTTTTGCATGGGCATTTTGTCACCATCCCCCAATAAATTGAGTCATAATCCAGACTAAAGCCAGGATAGGGGGTACTATTTAAACATGTATTAAAATATAATTTATCTCGCATCCAATGAGTGTTAAGCAAGCACTGTGCTAGGCAGCTAACAGGTACACTTTCCCCACATACCTTCCAAAAGCTAATAATCTCCATTTTACAGATCAGGAGCTTGATCAGATTTATTTAGCTTGACATTAGTAGACATATCTAGTAGAGGGTGGAGCTCAGACAAAATCAATTCCCTTCTATCTACCTACTGGTTTATTACATCTTTTAGTAAACCAGACCTAAACTTCAAATCCACTGCTCTCATTTTCATAATCATCCCGTAAGATGAAAATGAATAGTTGCCAGACCAGAGAGGGTGGAAGTACAGAGGCGAGCAGCGGAGGTTGTACCATCTTTTTAACACAGCTAACTTAACACAAGCGCCTTTTCGTTTCGCTCAAGTTCAAACAGCAAGGCCACAGTTCGCTCTGGGGGAGCAGACACACGTGTACCCCACGCATGCGCCCATACTGGACCCGCCTGCCCCTCAGACCGGACTTCTTTGGCCCAGTCACCAGCCAGCCCTCTAAATGCCCACCCTCAAGGCTAAACCTTTTGCCAATCGGGAGGCCGGAATCATCAAGTACGTCACTTATTTAGCATATACCCTCCTCGCCCCACCCCACGCCACGGCCCCGCCCCGTCTGACTCTGGGATTGTGGCCTAAGCGCTCCGTTCTGGCACGTGATTGGCTCCCTTGCCAGCTCCGCCTCCGTCTCCTCCCGCCGCCCTCCTAACCGCGCTCCCACAGCGGCGGGCGGATCTTAGTACGCAGGCGCTGGAGCTGCCTCTCTCTCTTCTGGTGGCCCGCCCTCCCTCCT